TGAAACATTTATTTTTTTACCTCAATTTTAAACATACGTTACGTCTTTGAACTGTGAGAAGTCTTTCTGCCAATTTTCATATGCCTTCCTAAATTAATTATTGTTATTGTGGGTGGTTAAAATGATGGTGAAGAATGTTACAGGTATAATTTCTATGGAAAGGGTTTTTTTTTCCCTTGGTGCTTGCTTTTTTATTTTTGAAGTAAACATCTGTGATTGTGTGACCTCCAAGGCTCACTGAAGGTACATGTCCTGTTTCTACCAAGAATTCAGGGCTTTCAGTCTTGTGATTTTCTGAAATGCAAAATTCATTCGTAAGGGCAGCTTGTTGGTAGCATCTCTATTATGTGGCCTTTACATATTACAAGTAAATTTTCAGTTCTGATAGTATTCTTTTGATTTATCCTGTGGTCCTTTTTTTTTTTATTAAGCTTACCAAGGGAACTCTCATGTCTCACTTCATCAGTAACTTGCAGCCAGTTTTCTGATAACGAGTATATGAGATACTTTATGTGATACTGCTGAACTCTTAAGCTGCTTAATTCTTAAGTTTTGAAAGCTGTTCCTAGAGGAATTATGGTTCTTGACTAGTTTGTCTGGAAGCACTGGGACAGGGAGACCATTCCCTGCATCAGTGTGAGCTTAGGGTGACAGCAAGGCAAGTATGGATCAATGTGCTCACTGACCTGTGGTGCCACTCCCATGTTGCCAGAAAAAAAGATCAGAGTGAGTCTACTGCCAGAAAAAAGGCCAGTGATTATCAGAGAAGTCTGTTGTGAGGAGAGAGGCTTGAGGACAAGGATTGGAATTTGGTGGATCAGTATCAGTGACATAGACAGCCAAGTACAGACGTATCTGCAGCATAGCTGACACGAGGTTCAAAAATGGRAACTTGAACTTCTGTTCCCAGCTGAAAGTGGAGGAAGCCCCTGACAAGGTTCCACACAGCTTACTCAGCTGTATTTTGTTAGAACTGGTCTTAAGCAGAGATGCCTTAACCCCTAGGATTGGTGAAAGTGCTTGCACAGTCTGTTGATAAGCTCAGGGCCGTGACATTGGTATCTTGGGAAAGCTTTCATTATTTGTGTTTGTAGCTGAGCTGTAAGTTATGATTTTCAGGACTCTGATACACTCACAGCTGTACAAAATAGGAACAATGATGATACTGGTTCTTGTATTCCAGAAATTTTAGTAATATATTTTCACTTCTGAAGGATGATGTTTGAAACACTACTGATGTTTCAGTTGTGCCAGAGAGAGTCTAATTAGTCACTGCAGCAGAATGGAGTTTGATCCTTTTCTCTTTTTGTTGCTGTTAYGTGCTTTTTAAAATTTGTGAAGGAGGTCATTAGACAACTCTGAAGGCTTAAGACCTTTCTGACATTGAGCAGAAAACTTTACACACATGCTTTCTACATTTGCAGGTAGTTTCAAATGCTTCCTACCATTCCTTGATTATAAAGCAGAGCCAAGTGTGATACCACAAGATCATCAAGAGCATGGTGGTGTAAGATTGTCATCTTTCTGTCAACACTTCTGATTGATTTTTGGAGCTAGGTATTTTGGTCTCTGCAATTGGTTTAATTGTTGTCAAGATGCCCAAGTTGAGCTACCTAGTCTTAGCAAAGAGGACACTGCTCTGAGGTAGGGATTTTTTGATGAAGTGGCTGTCTTCCAGGATAAATTACAATCTGCATTGCACATCTCTTGGATGTCACAGAGTTCTAATGCTCTGTATTAAAGCTGCTCTGTGCCCTTTCTTTTTTGATGAAGGTAAAGGAAAATGGGATGCTAAAATAAATTATATGGAGACGTACTGTAACTGCCCTGGCAAGTTAAAGCAGTTACATTTCACTAGGATACTCAGATCAGTCAGAATAATTACAAGGAAAGAATGCAGTACACTATCTTTTTTTAATATTAGTGTAGCCAGTGTGAGGAAATTTAGAAGTCTACCCTGCGTGGAGCACTACAGTATTTCTTAGAAACAGTTTGGTAATACATATTGGGACATCCACTGTGTCAGTGTTTAGCTCATCTCAAAGAAAAAGTAATATGGAAATATAACTTGGTTTTCTAATTTAATAGCAAGATGGTTTAACAAAATGAACAGCCTGGCTGTCCAAGTGAACCTATCTATCTTTCACTATTCAAGAACTCTTAACCAAATTCTCTACCAGTGTATTCATGAAGAGTTGTTACTGTCTTAAGCAGCTAACAGCTTTGAAGCAATCACTTCGTTTACCTTTACTAAAAGATATTCTGTTGCATAAGCATTCAAGAATGATGCTGAACTTGGTAAAGGAAAAGAAATCATAACCATCTGTTGTGTGCTAAAAGGCTAAAACTATCTTGATTATCTCTGAACATTAGAGAACTGATTTGCTGATTTGGAACAAACATAACAACACCCTTTCAAAGACAAGGTCAGTATTGTCATAGTGAGTTATTATGGGTTAGCCACACTTCTGGTTCTGTCCATTAGTCTCAAACTGCTTGCTGTTCTGCAGCTCAGAGAACCACAATGTTTAAGGCAGACATGCTGAGTGAAGGAAGAAAATTGGCATTCCGTGTTAGACAAAAAAAAATTCTTAAGCTCAAGTGTTTGCAAGATGTACATGTTCAGTGAGAATTTACCTGTAGATAAACCAGGTTCAGTTGTTTTTTAAGAACATCTGTTCTTGTCTTACATCTCGTAACATGAAAGCGTTAATAATGTGGCTTCTGGAATTTGGATTTATGTTAAACAGTTGAATGAAATGTAGATTTGGAGGGGCTACAAAATAGGATTTGGTTGTGGTTTCACAAATGAATGTTGAAATACAGCTTAGAGTGACATTTTGTGGCAGAATCACAGAGTGAAAGTAATCTCTGGAAGTCATCTTGCCCAGCCCCCTGCACAAGTACAGTCACCTAGACTTGGTTGCCCACAAGAAGCCTGTGCCAGTGCCCAGTAAAAAAAGTGTTTCCTCCTCTGGTCCTGTAACTGGGTGCCACTGAAAAGAGCCTGGCTCCCTCTTCTTTGAATGCCTCCTTCAAGCATTTTTGTACATTGATGAGATCTCCCTGAAAGTCCAGGTTCACCTCTTCAGTTGAAACAGTCCCAGCTTTCTCAGCCTTTCCTCATAGGTTCCCTTAATCATAGTTATGGTTCTTTGCTGGATCCTCTCCACTATATCCATGTTTCTTACATACCCAGGAAACCAGAAAATGACAAAACCCCACCCTGTTATTGGAGATAACATTCTTTGAAAATGGTTTTAAATCCACATGTAGTGCRTAACAGTGGAAATTATTAGTGACTTCTGTAAGAGGCGTATTTAACAGTTACAAATTTACCTAAGTGGTCCCAGTGAAACTAGGCTCTAAAGCCTGTATTTTTAAAGTAGCAGCAAGATGTATTGACGAATTCTGTAACTTAAGTAAACCACAGCATAAACAGAGGTTACTAACAAAGAAGTATCTGGATTTTATGGCTTCAACTGTTATGAAGTCTGGACTTTCTATGATATCTTATGAAAGCAAATCTGTGTCCATCTGTGCTGGAGTCAGAGTGCTTTGCTTTCAGACAGTTGTCCTGATATGTCACTTTGGCTGCATTATCTTTACTCGTTGGAGAGGTAGCAAGTGAAGAACAGTTTCTTTCTGCATTTTTCACTCCCTTTTTCTTTTTCCCCTTCTTCCTCCTTCCCTCACAGCTGAAGGAAAAAAGAACAGAGAGATTGAATAGGTTTAGATTGGCTGATGGAGGGCTAGGTTTTCTGGCATTTTTCTTTGTTTATGCTTTTTATTGCACTATATTTCTTTAAGGTAACAGGTACTCAAAAGGATAATTAAAGAGAAACTGTAGTTGTGTCAAAAGAAAGTGTAATCACAACAAGGTCATTATTATATGGTTTTGGTTCAGAAGTTAATATTTGAACAAAATAAGGCCCTATAACAATTTAGTACTCAGAATTTTACCCCAAAAATCCAGTCACAGTATATGTATTTTAAGAAATACAGTTTAAAAACATGCTGCTGGACTGTTTCATTTTTATGCCTCGGGGTAGCACAGAGCACTATTTCTACTTTTAGAAGCTTCTTCTCATTAGTGTAGGTTCTTATATAGCACCTGTTTTAAACTCCAAATCTGAATCTACAAATGTAAAACCTGACTTTTGAAATATTTGCTTTTTTGAACACTCTTCTTTAAAGGACCTATCAGGATCTCTCCCCAAAATGCTAGAAGCATGAAGGATAAGGGAGGAACAATGTTGCATGGCCCAAACACATGTGCTTTCGTCATTAGCAAGGTACAGCATGACCTCATGTTGACCTCAAAGGTAAATCGCTACCAGGGAACAATTATACAATGCCTGTGAAAGCAGCTTAATTTTGAACAGTCAAGAGAAAAATTCAGTGCCTAGAATAAAATTAAATTTACAACTCTGTCTGCCTTTCTCTTTCTCTGTCTTGTCTCTCTCGTCTCTTCTTGAGAGAATGTTGTTTTTTATATGTGTGTTGCAAAAGAAAACRACTTTCTAGAGGTCATAAATTCCTAAATACAGGGAACCCAAAGGATCTTGTATCCAATTTAGTCAAATTGTACATCTTACAGTGAAATTCCCTTTTTAAACGAAAGTTTCATTTGTTATCTAGAGTATTGATATTGCAGCCTTCAGAATGTGTATCTATGTTACTTCAGGGAATCTTGTGTAGTTCTGAAATGTATAGATCATTTGGACTTATGGGRGAGTTTTTTTAAATACTAGTAAATTAATTTTTGTGTGCTTATCTTAGACTGCAACACAAATTTGTGACATTTTATTTTTTCATAGAAGACTAAATATTCTGTATCATTTTGTGATACATCTCTACATATGATGGAATGTTATTTAGCTAGCAGTTCTGAGCTATTTGGAGAAGAATTACTGCCAGCATCTTGGAACTGTTAGCAATATTTATCCCATATTATTTATATAATATAACTGTTTGATGTAACTTTCTTTTTTTTCTAGAACGAGCGAGCATATTCCTTTTGTGGAACAATAGAATATATGGCTCCAGATATTGTAAGAGGGGGAGACACAGGACATGATAAGGTATGTTTAAGTTTATTACTGAAAATAAACTAATTCTTCAGTGAACATGTTGCTCAGCTCAAGAGGTTCTTGTAAAATATGGCAGTTTCTTATTTAACCATGTGTTATTCCAGGTTGTCCTAAAATAGATTATTTCCTGTATCTTCAACTGTATGTTGATGTATTTTCCTCTTCTGATCTGAAGTAAAAAGCATATTGATAAAGGTATTGAGGCTTATTTGKTCTATTCAAAATTTGTTCTGAATATGCCATCGGACAATAAACTTAGCTGACACCMATCTTTGCATGAAAAAACTAGCTCAGAGTGGAAAAATTACTGATTTGTGGCTCATTCTGATATACATTTTAAATTGGACATCAGAGAAATCTGTTATCTTTATARAAGTATGGGATAGGTTATTAATGTTACAAGTGTTCTCATACTGTAAAAATTGTTTGGCTTGCAACTCAAGTTTTATTATGCATTGAAGTGCCCGTAATGGATAGCAAGGATCAAGACAACAATAATTAACACATTTTATTTAAAACAAACAAAGAATCCCTACTCTCCAAAATAATTAATAATATTCCCGGAGAAGTTATTTTGATTACTCACTATGCTGGGAAGTTGGAGAATAATTAATATCTGTGGTTTTTTGCTGTAGACTGAGTCGACTTGTCTTTCTGTTGTGGCTCATGGAATGTAGTTGATTGTGGTTCCTTTTATAGCAACCTGTCCCAGAACTGGTAAAGTCTTACTTTTGCCTGGAAAAGTTCTTTCTTTTCCTTCTCTATACATTCTATGTCTATTTTRGTCTGAGTTTGTCTTCAGTTAGGGAGCACTGTGGTGGGCACAGCTGGGATTTGGAAGGTTGAAGTATAGCAGAATGACCTCCCTGATTCTTCTACTAGACATAAAATAGAATGTGCTTTTCTTTTCACTTAGTCATTGTCTTGCACCCATCTTGAGTTCTGCTATAACCTCTTGGTTATAGCTCTTTTTTCTACTGTGCTGCTTGCCAAGTTGCTATTAAAAATGGAATTAAAAAAACTTATGAATTGAAGCTCTTTCCTGCACTTTCATAGTTTAGTCATGCCACCACTTACAGASCATCTCTCCAATTTCTCAGTCACCTTGAATTATGATTCTAGCTTCTGAAAGCTTACAAATTCAGTTTTGGTGACTTTAACAGGAATCTCTGTTCTGATATCTTTGGTTCCRTGTGATACTTTCATCAGATGTGCAGTCATACAGTATTCAATAGGGAATAGCTTCACAGTTTGATGGCGAATGTTAGCTGATGAGTAGAGATTATTTTGCAGTTGTGTATGTGATGTTAGTTGTTTAGCCGGCGCACTCACTACTTTACCATTGGCAATGTCATATATTGTTGTTTTAGAAGGTTTTCAGTATTTAATGTTTTATACTTAGTACATCTCTAGCAACACAAAAATGAGATTGCTTTAGTACGTTATGCTGTCATTAATCAATATTTATGATTTGTAATCTCTTCTAAATGATTGCAGTGTTTGTCTTTAAGGACTTGCTCTAGTATTTCAGTATTCGTTTTTTTGAAATTTGATTTCTGATTCTGCAGATCCTTTTTCTTTTGGAAAAACACATGCCAAAACAAATTCTTTGGAATTTTCACTGAAAATGACATATTTGCAAAGATAATTAGTACCAGTACAGAGAATTCTTCAGTTAGTTCTTCTAGACCTCTTGGCTGAATATGAGATCAGATTCTGTGTATTTTGAAGAAAAAACAAATAAACTATGTGGCCAAATTTTCATGATTTCACTAGTTGTCTTCCTGTATTGTATTAATATTSCAAACATAAGTAAAGCTGAAGTTTCATTGATTTTCATATTTCATGGCTGTAAACCTGCGAAGTTCAAACACCTGTAATTAATTTTTGTTGAAAAGACTGAATTGCTTCGTTTGTTATTCATGGTAGTATTCTTTCTTTTGAAAGAGAGAAATATTTTTTAAGTTGTGAGGTATGAGAGATATGAATAACATGATTAGTATACAGGAAGCCAGATATCCCATGTATTACCAAGGTCCATCTCTCTAAAGTACCTGAGGGGCGTTGGTGGCACTGGATGACCATAACCGAGCAGTGCCTGTGCCATGTGGAGCTGCCCATGCAAAATGGATAACTATGGAAAGTAATAGGAACCAAAATGCAGTAAACTGTCAAAGTGGGAGTAATAAGTGCTAAATCCTTACTTACTAACGTTCTTCACCAAACAGAACCACTGTTTTAYCTGTGACCTGTTGCAGCAGTGGAATGTTGGAGACATGGTTTTTCTGAAAGCTTTGCCTGAGTGAAGGAGCAAACAGGTGAAACATGAACTGGCTGAAATTATGTTCACAGTTGGAAATGTCATAGATCTAGTAACAGGAAATAACTGTGCTTTTAAGCAGATTCCTTGAAAACCTATCAGGTTTGGAGTATCTAACGGAAGCAGATACTACCTAAGTGAAAAATTCCAGGAACTGAAATAGACAAATAGCAGTCCAAATACGTATACATTAAAAAATCTTTGATGGTGGTGTTGTTGTTAATATTATTCTTATTAAAGACAATTTAAAACTTAAGGATAGGATGCCATCCAGAGGGACCTGCATAAGCTCGAGAAGTGGGCATGCAGATCTCGTGAGGTTTAACAAGATCAAGTGCAAGGTGCTGCACTCGGGTGAGGACAGCCTCCAGTATCAGCACAGGCTGTGGGATGAACAGATCAGAGCAGCCCTGCTGAGAAGGACTTGGGGGTACTGATGGGTGAGATGYTGGATCTGACCTGGCCATGTGTGTTCATGGACCAGAAAGCCAATTGTGCCCTGGGCTGCATCCACAGCAGTGTGGGCAGCAGGGCCAGGGAGGGGATTCTGCCCCTCTGCTCTCCTCTGGTGAGACCCCCACCTTCATACAGCTCTGGAGGTCTCTGCACAGGAAGGRCATGGACCTGCTGAAGTGAGTCCAGAGGAGGGTCACCAAGGCGATTAGAGGGATGGAGCACCTCTCCTGTAAGGAAAGGCTGASAGAATTGGAATTGTTCAGCCTGGAGAAGAGAAGGCCTAATTGCAACTTTCCAGTGATTGAACGGAGCCTACAAGAAGATGTAGAGAGACTTTTTAAAAGGGCATGTAGTGACAGGATGAGGGGGAATGGCTTTAAACTAAAGGAGGAGAGATTGAGATGAGATGTTAGGAAGAAATTCTTTACTGTGAGGCTGATAAGGCACTGACACAGGTTGCAACAAATTCTGGTGGAAAAATTAAAGAAAATGTAGTTATCCATTGAAAGAGTTCAGCTTGAGAAGTTGCTTGAAGAAGCTAAGGGGAGAGATTTCAGTATGAAATAATTTATCACAGAAAATACCTCCAATCAATACAGCAGTTGTTTATATTTCATTGGATCTTGTTTTATATTTGTATTGGTAGGTAGGTTCTTCCTGTGCTACTTGTTTTCGAAGTGGATTGTTTTGTTCCTTTTCTTGTTAACAATTTTACTTCGGTGTATCATAACATACATAATTACTGTTGTTTTGTAGGCTGTTGATTGGTGGAGTGTTGGTGTTCTTATGTATGAATTATTAACTGGAGCATCACCATTTACAGTCGATGGAGAGAAGAATTCCCAAGCAGAGATTTCTAGGTAAGATTCAAAGCAATGAAATACATGTGCTTGCTAACAGATAATCCTTATGCCATAATGTATGTTTTGTGAGAGTTAATTTAAAATTTAGGAAGAAAGTGCTGCCACAGTAACATTTTATGTGCTCCAGTTCTGTTTAATAGAATGACATCTGAAAGTAGATAGTTTTTATTAGCTAATAGAACTGACTATTACAAAAGACCTGGTTTGTTTACAGTGGAAACCACAACTTTGTAGATACTTAGCCCTGTTGCATGTTCACTGTTGAAAAGGAACTCAAATGAAATACCAAATTATTTGTAAATAGAATTATCACATTCAAAATCTTAATACATTAGAGATGTCTTTAGCTTGAAATACTTTTTTATTAACTCTTTCTAGGTCACTCTGGCAGACTGCAGATTTCAAGTGCCAGAATGTACTCTACTCCCACCTTCTTGTTACAAATAATGTTTATTTATCAGTGTGTAACACAAAACAAAGAATGTGATCTTTTCTAGCCTTATGGCATATCTGAGAAGAAATGAATATGATACAGAAATGAAATAACTTATATCATTCTTAGCTTTTACATGTAAACCTTTTGTTACATTCAATAATCTTTACACTTCAAAAGGCTTGGTTTCAGTACCCATGTAAAAGTACTGGAGCATTTAAAAAAGACAAAGCAGTAAGCTTCCCCAAAACATTACTGAAATCTCCCCCAAAACAAACATTTCCTGTTACTGGTTTTCTTTTGGAGCAGGAAGTTGAGGTCTTAAATTGCTCAAATTAGTAACTGGTGTCAAAATGAGCTTGTAAGTCCAGTCCCCAAACTAAGAATAGCCTTGCTCCTATTGGAAGGTATTGTCATGGTTCTTTCACCTGAAATCACTTGATTTTGAAGGTTGTAATGGATGGTAGAACATACCTCAATTATTTAGATAATTTATTTTACTTATGCTATAAGTTCAGGCAATTTCTTGAGAGATTGAGGCCATTTTGTTGGTTTTTACTTCTTTGCCAGAGCAGGAAACTTAAAGGGTCACTAGAGAAAATACAGAGGAGAGGGGAGTCCATTAATGAAAGAGAATTCAGGACTTCACCCTCTTGGTCATTATATTGCAGTTAAAACTGAAATTATCTCTTTGTGGCCTGTTTAGGGTTAGAAGTTTTGTTGACTGGTTACTTAYGCTGTGGCCGAATTTGGTAATTTTGATTCCCAAGATTTACTAAATGGAACTCAAAGGAGTAACTATTTTTTTTAGAGAGAAATGGAACCGAATTTTACAGAGGTTCCCCAAAACTGGGGAACTTTCTAATTATGTGTTCTGCAGGATTTGACTTTCTTTTGTTAGGCCCTTATGTGCTCTTTAAGATAACAATATTTCTGAAAATTGGAGTAATCACAAGGTTGTTAACATCTGTCCTCTGATGTCTAATAACTTATTTTCTGGTCTTTAGTTGGGGCAAGTTTGTGTTGTTGCTCAGTCTGTTTTTGTTCTGCTGGGTTCTTATGCTACACATTTATAGATAGCAGTCCTGTAGTATTTCAGCTTTTATTTTGATAAATTTAGAAGTTAAATTCCTACAATTTCCTATATTAAAGATGTTTCCCAGTCTTCCTGTTTCCTGAAAAAGCCTTTTCTTAACTCAGCTTGTGTTGTTCTTTCTTACATGTGGACAATTCTTGTTGATGTTTCAAGAGGATCTTGTTTAAAGGAAGGGATAATTTACCATCAGAACAAAAAAATATTCTTCCTTTTTCTTGAGTTCCTCTTGTTGATGCCAGTGGTGGTCTGGTAGATCTAATTCCTCCTCCTCATCTGTCAACTTKCAGCTGATAAGCCTTTAGTTTATAGTTGAAGTCTTATTCCCAGCTATGTAGTTGAAATCATCTTACTCCCAGCTATATGACTGCATTTCAGACTTAATGTGTTTTGTATTCCTGCTTGCTTTGTCTTTTTGTTTGCTTGAAATTGGATACTACGTCAGTAGAAGCTACTCTTGGGATATGCACATTTTGAACTTGGTTTTGTCCTTCCACACTGCCCAAACAGGATTATTTTGGAAGCAATCTGTTTGCATCTATTTTTGGACTAATCCAAGAAGCTAGAGATTTCAAGATAAAAATTTTCCCGTGGGATAACAGACTTTAGGGATATGTCATGCAGTAACTTTAAACAAAATCTAGGAATGTCCTGCAGCAATCAACTTAAGCTCTGGCAAAAACATATAATAGTTGAGATTTTAGTCTTGCCACAAACTCATGTCTTTTCAGCCTCACAGTCTTTTATGGCTTCAAAATCTTTCAGTCTGTGTTTAGTGGAGGCTCTGTTAGTCCTTCTATGAAATCACCACAGTGAGAGTATGCATCGAGCTATATAGACACCAAGACACATGACCCAGCAATGTGTCCTTGTGGCAAAGGCAGCAAATTAGGCTRCAATGCATGAAATGTCATCAGGTTGAGGGATATGATCCTTCACTCTCAGCACTGGTGAAGCCACAACTGGAGTACTGGTTCCACTTTTGGTCTCTCCAGCACAGGAGAGTGATATATTGGACATCTTGGAGAGAGTTCAGCAAAGGCCCACTGAGAATATGAGGAAAGACTGAGAAGGCTGGCACTCCTTTGCCTGGAGAAGGGAAGGCTCAGGGAAATCTCATCAGTGTGTACATGAATGCCTGAAGAGAGCATACAAGGAAGAGGGAACCAGACTCTTTTCAGTGGTGCTCAGTGACAGGACCAGAGATGGAGGCCACAAATTGAAACACAGGAGGTTCCCTCTGAAAATGCATTTTTACTGTGAGTGTGATGAGTACTGACACAGGCTGCCCAAAGGAGGTGGTGAAGTCTCTCTCCTTGCAGATATTCAAAGGGTTTCTGGACATGGTGGTGARCAGCTGGTTCTTGTAGCTGTGTGAACAGGGGGAGATGGACCAGATGACCTCCAGGGATCCATTCCAACCTCAACTCTTCTGTGGTTCTTTGTGCTAAAAGGTTTTTTGTGTCTCTGTTTTAAACCAGTTTGGGTGTGTTAGTTTCTTCCAGTCTTTAGCTTTAGTATTTAGATTTGGAGTAACTGAAGGAAAACTTGCCTTTATATAGAAACTTTATATAAAAACTTCTCTTTATATAGAACAAGGGGAGCTACAGATATAAAAGATAGGTATTGAAGTGTGATTCTGCTTAGGCTTCCAAGCTTTTGATTTCCACTGGCACAACTTGATTGTTTCTAGTTCTTGTATTGAAAAAGATGATGTCTGTTCACTTTACCATTTTGAGGGGAACGCTGTTGTCTAGCTCCCTTGAGTAATTTTTTCCGTATGCTGAATAGTCCTAGCCTTTTTATAAGACTTCCCATAAAACACATTCTGTGTTTCTGAGAAGTCTTATTACTGTTCTCTAAAACTGTTCCCATTATAGTGCCTTCTTTTGAGACTAGGGCATGAGCCCTGCACACAAAATGGGAGGGTGCAGGCAAACTTCCCATGGCCCAAATATAGGATTTTTTTTTGTCTGTGTTTTCTAATATTTTTTAATATTGAAATTATTTTTTGTTTCACTACTGTTAGGCATCAAGTTGATTTCTTTGTGGAGCTATTTGTTGCAGCTATGAAATTTCTTTTAAATAGTAATCTCAGTACTTGAAATGTGGATTGTTCTCCTTTGTGGATTAAGTTTCGTAATTTATCTTCTGGTGTTGTTTTTCATGTTGCAATTACTTAAACCTTCCTTTATTTAAAAAGAGATTGATTTCATATTTGTCATCCTCCTGCTTTTGTGTACAATAGAAGTTTAAGTGAAATGTTTACACTTCCAGTAGTATGGCAACTTCTTAACTCTTGACATTTTTAAGGAATTACCACTTTGTTACTTTGTTTATTTTAAAGGAGAATATTAAAAAGTGAGCCACCTTATCCACAAGAAATGAGTGCTCTGTCTAAAGATATAATTCAGCGGCTTTTAATGAAAGACCCCAAGAAGAGACTAGGTTGTGGTCCCACTGATGCTGAAGAAATCAAACAGCATCCCTTTTTCCAGGTAAAGCAAACAACAAAACTCACCAGATCCCACTTACTCTGCATTAGTGCCTGTGAAGTCTAAGTCTAAGGAAATTCTGTTACTTTGTTAACAAAATAGTTTAGAGACATGTTATGCATTGAAGTTAGTAAGAATATCCATGTGCTTATGTGTATGGATTTTGTGTGTATTAGAAGGGCATGCTAGGTTTTTAATATATTCTGTTTGTATCTAACAGTTACCTGAAGTTAGAAGACCCACTGCTTAAATCAGAAGGTTTAATGCAAAACACTAAAATCGTATTGTATTGTCTGTTGGGGTTTTTTAAAAGATTGCTGCTAGCATTATTAGTAAAATTTGAATATGGAATGAATTCACCAAATGCCTCTATTTTCTTTGGCCCAATTAAGTCTTTAATCTTGTTTAGTAAACTTTAATTCTGTTCAAATTTCAGTGTAGTAACATTAACTTTCAAATCATAATGAAGACTGGATTTGTGTCCAGTATCTGTAGTCTTCCTTTCATTGTGGTTAAAATTGTGTGCTTTCTTTAAAAAAAATCATTACGTATTTACAGTACTTCTGAAAGTAGAGTTAAACAGAGTTAAGCTTYCTTAATTCACTGTTTGTTTTGGAAGATACATTTTGTCATCATATAACGCTTTCTAGTCTTAATTTCAGTTCTACTCCTTTACAGTAACATGGCAGTTTTCTCATAACTGCTATTTCTGTGGTTCCTCTTTCTGGTCATGCATTTAAGTAAGAATTGGGAAGCTTATGCTCTCAGGGCACTAAAAGATGACATTGGTAATTAAGCATAGAAATTGGCAATGAAAAGTTGAAGATACTAGATGCATGCACTCTGGCTTACAAAAATATAAATATTGCTTATTCTAAAATTGTGGAAGAAATTCAAGGACCATCATTCTAATTGTTTGGCTCATCTCCACAGTTAAATTTAATTATGTTGATTTTATTTTTGATTTGATTCTGTCTATGTACAAATAAGTATGATACTGCTTGGCTTTACCCAAGCAAAGTAGTGGGGCATAATTTGAATGTTTTTCATCTATCTGTGGAAAATAGCAAATGGAGTTAGGACTTCGTGTCTGGACAATTCTCTCCAATATCTCCTTCTGTTAAACTGTCATTTGATTCAAACTTGCTTTCCTGTTTTTTGCTTAGAATATGAATTGGGAAGACTTAGCTGCCAAAAAAATACCAGCTCCGTTTAAACCAGTAATCAGAGATGAATTGGATGTCAGTAACTTTGCAGAGGAGTTTACAGAAATGGATCCAACATACTCTCCTGCAGCAACCCCTCAGACTTCAGAAAAAATATTTCAGGTATCTTGAGAACTCAAAATAATTTTTTTAAAAAATGGTTACTGAACAATTCCCCATGTTTAGCTAGCTCTTTTTTAACCTCCTGCTTATCAAGTTCTTGGAATTAATTTTGTAATTTCTAGTCCCAGTTCCCACGGCTTTTTGTTCAACAATTGCAAAATGAGAAAGGTGGAAACAGTCCTACTGCAATTATAAAATTCCTTGTCTCTCCATTCCCAGCTGAATGTCCTACATGCTGGCCTTAAGTSAGTCTGTTCTTTATTGATTCTTCATGCATTATGAGTCTTGTCATCTTGACTCCATCAGCCTGGGCTATAGCTTCAACAAGAGCAGTGTAGTTCACCGATCTCCACATTATGTGCTAGTTGAAGTAATCCTTTGGAAAGTGGGAGCTACCTGTAGAGCTGAAAGTAGGTCCTCTATGTTTTGTACGAGTGCTCTAGTTACTAGACTGATGTATACAGATGAGTAACAAAGCTTTCCTGACCGTTCCCTCCATGCTATTAAAGAACAGTCCCTTCTTAGACTCCACAGTCTGGTTGTCAAATGGGCAGAAGCAATTAATGTGCAGTCAACTTGGAATCAAACCCGTGGAGGTGAAGAGCAGTTTGGATTGCTTTCTTTTCTCCCCCTCCTTTGTTGTTTTTTACTGTTTTCGTTTTGAGCAGCTTAATCCTTAGGGTACAGGAATGTAGCATTGTGTTTTGGAACCTGTTATATTCGCAGTGACTGTGGCAAGCAGTTTATGCATGTCATACCACCATCTGATTCACCCTGCAGTGGTAGTCACAGCTGTTGTTATGATACTCAGATGGGGCACATCATTAATATAAAGTTTATATTGTTTATCTGTTTGAAATTGTTTAATGCTTACATCACAACATACCAAGTATCTCATGCCTTAACTTCAAGGTATCCTAGGAAGCTGGCTAGTATGAGCCTTTATCAYGATTGTAAAGCAATTGGAGCTGAGCCAAATTAGCATTAATTAGAATTCTTGTAGTATTATTGTTTAGTCTTTAACTGTGGAGAATCATACAACTAATTCCAGGAAGGCACCTGTTCATGTTGAACAGAGTAAGTTACAACTTCTTTATTATGATACAATAATTCTGATTTCTTTGAAAAATTCTTCTGAAACTTCTGATGTTTTGTATGTATTATGATAGTTTATGTGCAACAGTATCAAGCTGTACCCTATTCTGATGTTTTAATTTCATAGGGATATTCTTTCGTTGCACCTTCTATTTTGTTTAAACGCAATGCAGCTACAGTGGATCCCTTTCAGTTTTATGTGGGGGATGAGCGACCTGGAACTACAACTATTGCCAGAAGTGCTATGATGAAGGTAATAATAATAATACCAAGACCTAAATAAATCAACTTAAAAACTCTGTATAACTTCCTAAGCAGCAATCACAAGATAGGCTACAGATTAAAAAAATAGTCATCATTCATTTACAAGTTCTCTGTAATGGCTCCTCAGATGATCCAAGTATCTGATAATCCATCATATCTTGCATGTGATTTTATTATTAAGAAGTGGTTAAAGTTTAATCTGAAAAGTGAGATGATTGTGTAGTTTTCCAGAAGACTGAGGTATAGTAATAATAATGATATGACTCCTGATAGTTCTTATTCAGCCAACTATTGCAGATATTTTTGAAGTTACTTATAATTATACCATAATTCCTTCTATGGTATATTTACCCCAAAAAGTTATAATTTTGTGAAGCCTTATAAGAACACATGGTATTGTGATGTCCTCAAATGAGCACATAGTTTTGTGGATAAATGTATGTATGACCATCTTTGATCCTGTTTGTCTGAATATTTTGTATCTTCAACTGTTGTAGTAGTAATGATTTATTCAGTTACTGTTTGTTTAATGTAAGCTTTACTCTTTGATTGTTAGAATAATGTTTATGCATTTTATTAAATAAAACTTAAGATTATATTTTATTAAAAAGAGAACTCTTTTACAATTTTAAATGTAGATAAAAAATTCTCTTGAAACTTTACTCTTTGTCTTTGTGTATACTAAAAGTATTCTGCAAAACTAAATACAGACAGTTTCCTAACAGGACTCTGCATTTTATCATCATTATGAACTGGATCTGAAAGAGAAACCATTGGGAGAAGGAAGTTTTTCCATTTGTCGAAAGTGCTTACACAAGAAAACTAGCCAAGAGTATGCAGTAAAAATAATTAGCAAAAGGTATAAATATTCTATAAGACAATAAAAGTATTTTCTTTGCTTACTGTCACCCCTGGAGTAGAATAATGTTCACTACATTTTTGGAAGCGGAAAAATAACTTTAAAACTATTTCTTGTTCTATGAATCTGCAGAAACTTATTGTAACCTTATGACCTTTAAAAGATTCTGAGAGTCTTTTGAGAKAAAATGTTGTTCTTGTTGGGGAGGACACAAGAAGAAGCCTAGCAAGTACTTTTCTCATTCTTAGCTGTATTCTACCATTACTTCCCCTAATTTTGCTCTTAAAAAAGAAAGTTATAAGGCTTTTCTATCATTGGACTTAAGTGAACTGAACGTAAGCTTATGCTAGCTCCCTCTCCTAAGCTAAAGAATGCTTTAAAGAATGATCGGCAGCACAGGTTGCCTCAGATCTAATTGTGTGCATGTGTGTGTATAGAGTGGAATTAGACTATGGAATTGTAAATTGTATCTTGTTTCCTGGGTGTTCTGATGAGAACACCAAAATGGAAGCAGCTGATTTGTTTTGTCTATGGGTATCATCTTGTCCTCTTCCAGAATGGGTATGTCTGGGAGTTTCTGCCCAGAGAAAAATAAAGATAAGGGATTCTTTGAGAAACAGATGGATTTTTGCCTTTATTTTGTAGAGTTCATTAGTAAGTATGTCCCTAGTGTGTTGTAGAATGCTTGCAGGAAAGTAGAAACATTCTGCTATCAGAATGATAGCTCACGGTGATCTCTTCTCCAAGATATTTGGCTGTACCTCTGTTTTTCCAGACTTAAGAATTAGAAGAAGCTGTCCACCAGATTCAAGTATTTCATCATATGAGTTTTGAATAGGATGAGTTTGAGAATAAGAAGCCTAAATGTAGGTGTTTGAGTTCGTTTTCTGAGGTCTGATAAATTAATGGAGGCTTGCCTAAAACTAGAAGTGGGATTCAGTAACTTAAACATAGAATCTACGTAGTGCCATTATAGCATCTGTTGGTGTCTTCTCTGTCCTCCGGTTCCATCAGTCTTGTGACTGCTACCTTTTCGTAGATGTCTTCATGGCTGATGTCATCTTCCAGGCTCTTCCTTCCTATGCTTAGGCCACTGAATCCTACTCTAGGTATGTATATTACAGTGAACTAGTTCACCCTGTAAAATGGATTAACTAGAATTTCATTGTAATGAGACCTTAAACAAGTAGTGTGTGGTAGACGCCTACATTGGGTATTTTAATGTGGAAATCTCTGCTGTGTGTCTACTCAAAAGTTGTTCTATGGTGCCGGGTGCCGGCAGAGCTGTAGAATAATGCTCCCATCTCATTTTAAGATAATGTGTGTTTTGTTTCTGGATAACGGTGAGCAAACTAGTATTGACTTTTCCCTAGAACTTAGCTTTTAGAAATTATATCCCTAAATTACATTACTCATGGGTTCTTTTGCTCTTTGTCCTTTATCTTGGTAGCTCAGGCTAAATGAAGGTAAGAAGTGATCTGTATACAGAGATTTAAAACATTTTTTTGGATTGCAGGGTGTGACCAGACTCAGTYAGTCTTTCACTCCTACTGGGCAAATGGGCTCAGAAAGGGACTCTTACACCTCGGGAAACCTTTTCATGGTACTTGAGATAAAAGCTCAGATGAACAGTTCCTCTGTGGTGTCACATTTTTAATAGTGCTGGACCTGCCCTTAGCCAACAAATGTAGGATTACCTGTGCGTCTGATGACCACTGAAACAACAGACCCCTGTAAACTTGCTTGAGTTACCTTTTTAAAACGTCCCATTTTTTTTCACACAAGGTTGTTTAAAATCTGAGATGGTAACTATTTATGTAGAAGAAGTAGTCAGAAAAGCCCACATACAAATTTCAAAGGTTTATGGTCATGATACTGAACCTTTTTCATCTGTTTCCAAGGTCCACTTTCTTCTGATAGTAGTTTACAGGAAAGACTCTGTGAGTCAGGTTTTTTGACTCCTTAAGGAACTGAAGTCACTTTCAGTTAAAAAACTTCAGCAGCAGAGATGGAAGTGGAACAGCTTAGTTTACTTGATTATATGAAGTCTGCAGAAAAGTGGAATTCTCATGCACAGAGTTCTCATGATGGTTCTTGTCCTAATTAGAAAAAAAAGCAACCAGAAAATGAAGAACATGTGGGATGAGAGAGATTCTATCTGTTTCTGGTACCCATAAAGCCATCCTCTAGGGCTGTACAGGATTAACCTTTCTTGCAGAGAGTTTTTGCAAAAATTTTTAGCATTGTTTGCCAAAAATAAATCAGTATATCTGATTAGTGGAAAAAAATGCTCTGTCACCATTCATGTAATTTTTCTAATGATCACCACTTTTACTKTTTATGGCTATAGACTTCAGTACTTGAAAGAGAATTTATGCAATGATTTTTTTCTGGAGATAGTCTCTTCCATTCCAGATTTTTCCAGTGGCCTGTTTAGGGGTTCATTTGTATAACACAGTTCATATATAGATGATGTTACTCTTTTTCTAGTAGAGCTCATAGTTTACATACCATTTTGGAAGTAATTGGCCCCATTTAGAGTGGAAAAGGATTGGGCCAAGAAAAAGATGAGCTAACAAATATTGGTAGTAACAGAGGTGAAGTCAAATTGCTCTGGACTAAGGGCACGGTGTGCTTTAGACAGAAACTATTCTATGATGTTACATCAGCTTGTGTTGTGGGAAGTTGCATTAAAAACATTGTTTGAATTGGGTGTGTGGGTTTTTTAATGTACTAAATTGCAGGGTTATGGGGAAAGTTCCTTGTCAACTTTTAATATGCATTTCATTGTGTTCAAGTGGTAATAATAGTAAAAAAAAACTGGATTGCTGGCAGTTAAAAAAGAGTCTAACACTTGGAATGTGCAGTTTGCTCAGTGATACTGGTACAAAATGACTGCTCAATTTTTCCAGAATGGAAGCCAACACCCAGAGAGAAATAACAGCTCTGAGACTCTGCGAAGGACACCCGAATGTAGTGAAGTTACATGAAGTTTTTCATGACCAGGTATTTTGAAGAAACTGTAATCAGTGCCTGCCAAACATGTTGCCATATGTTTTCCCAAGAACTGTTAGGACTTAAGTATACTGTAACTGTGGAGGCAACTTTCTGCATTCAAATGATCTTGCAGTTACTATAGCAAATCAAAGAATATGCAAAAAAATTAGAGGCTTCAATTCTGTTTGTTGTTTTGTCCTTGATTGTCGTTGTTAACCATCATACAGAAACTGGGCCATGAACACAGTGTATCTGTGACACTGAAATGCTTTGTCAGCTTTCCCCCAGTGCTGTCATAAATGTGGTATTCGTAAATTAATTTAGAAATGGTGCATATGAAGATTATATATCTAATGTCTTTTCTTACACATTAGTAGCTTAATAGAGACAACCAAATAGCTTGCCAAAATACCAAATGTGAAAGTAGAGCCTATATTTGAAAAGACACTGAGATCAGTTTATTTAGATAGCTTAATTTTTCTTTTTCTTCAGGTAATGCAAATTCCACAGCATGTAATAACCATAATTTGATCTGAATTGGAAGTTGGCCTTGGTTTGAGCTAGGGTTTTGGACAGGATGTCCTGTACAGCTCTTTTCCAATGTAGAACCAAAACTTCTGTGATTCTGCTCTATGATTTTGTAATGGAACATGGGGTCTCTTGCCCCTTCACATATCCCAGTCTGTTCCTCTCATCCTGTCTATACAGGGACCAACAGAGAGCACTTCTAAAATGATCTGAGAGGATACACTATCTGTACTCTAACTTTAGGTGACAAGAAAACCCTTTTTTTTGCATTTATGTATAGTATGACTACACATGTGCAGAACAGGACACTTTTTTCACTTGCCTTTGAGTAAAATGAATATACTCAGGAGTATCTAAAAAAAGATGCTCTCCAGACTGCTCCACAACTGAATAGGCTTCTCTCAAACAGTCAACCCACTCTTAGCTATTCCTCGTAGCTCCCAGGTGTGACCTTTCAGAATATTTGTGCACAATATTCTGAAGATGAAATGTGATGAAAATTTTCTAATTCTGACTTTTCTGCAGTTTGTCTTAATAAAAAGAAGTTCTGTTTTTTAACTTGCTCTGATATCATCCTTTATTAATATTCCAACCATATAATATTGAGTTGCAGTCTCTTGGTGAGCCAGAAGTTTTCTAGTGAAAAAAGTCTCTATCGTTTCCAACTTTCCTATCAGCTATTCCCAAAACATAAAGTTTGCAGGAGAGGATATCATTCAAGCACTTACTAGACACCTTGCTTGTTCTAAATGTTGTTGTTTTATGTCTGCATAGCTTTGCTTCTGTTCTTTGGTATCTAAAGACTGTGCACCTTCTGACTATTGCTTTGAATTCCAATTTTTGGCCTCTTCTCAGAAGTTTTTTTGCTCTACTTGCAAATACTACTTTTGTTACTATCATTCAGGGGAGGGAGGGGCTAGAAGCCATAGCGTGCCTACATCCATTGCCTTTTGAGAATGCTGACCTCACTTCCCTGTTCCTGAGTAATTTGCTGTTTGTTTAATGGCAAGACATTTGAATTACAGTTGACTGTGTGCCAATGTCTTATAATTAAGGAAGTTTCTGCTGACTGATTGTGTTAAAAAGAGCAATCTTCTGAAAATCCATTGCTTTTTTAATTTAAAAAAATTAAATGCTCTTTAATGTTTGGGAAGATGTCTATTGCAATTCTAATTATGAAGTAGCTTTGGCTACTACTCTGTAGGGGATAAAATCACAAGTTCTATATAATCCTTGATTTCAGAAGTAAAATTTCAGGGTGCTTTTAAAGGATTTCATAGTATTAAGTGGTTAACTCCTTATGCATGTTAAGAGATACATATCCTTATAGCAGAACAGGCTAAAGCAGCAAAAGTTTAGCTTTTCCCAGCTTCCCTTATTAGCCTCAGTAAAGGTGTTTTGTCTACCTGCAAATTTCATTTATTTAGTTGGTGTCACTGTATTTTTGTTAATAAATATGGATGCATGTGGGGAAAACATTATCATACTTCAGTCTCAGCAAAATTGATGGGAAAAATGTCACCTGAGATTTGGTGCTTTATTTTGGCCTTCCAAATTGCTACAAGCAGCAGAGCTATTTCTTCAAATGTTGGGAACCTATCAGAATAGCACCTGGCTCCTGAACAAATGTTTGTAATGTTAAATTTCTAACATATTTAATTTTTCTTTATTGTTTCAGCTTCACACGTTCCTTGTAATGGAATTGTTGAAGGGAGGAGAATTGCTTGAACGTATTCAGAAAAAGAAACATTTCAGTGAGACTGAAGCCAGTCACATTATGCGCAGACTTGTTTCAGCAGTGAGCCATATGCACGATGTAGGAGTAGTCCATAGAGATCTGAAACCTGAGGTATAGTAACTTGCATATATATGTTTGGACAATAAGTTATTAAGTATGTGGAATGTGATGTATCTCTGTTTCTCCAGCCTTTGGTGTGGAGTTTTCCACTTTTCTATTTTTAATAAAATGTTGCCACTTTTACTTAGCAAATTCTGTAGATCTTCTTCTGTTCACAAATAAAGTAACTGTTAGGAAATGTTTTTAGTTCTGTAAGCAATCTATACTCTTAACTTGTTCAAAAACATTCTTTGCCTATTTGGGGACTTCTTTCACTAGCATGTATTTATTGTATAAAACAGTTAATGAGCAAAGCTAGGTTGCTTGGGTACTTTGCTTGTACATTTCCACCTTTTGTTTGATCTCGGTTTCTTCAGTAGGGTTTCTTTTGGACCTAACTGTGACATGCTTGTATTGTCTTCTGTTCCAATTAAGCACAAAACGAGCGCTAATAGAGATGTGTGTTTTGAGTTCAGTAGTTTCTCAAAGGAAACAATTTATTAATATCTGTTTTTCAGTAATTGCTTTTCTGTTACTTTTGTTGTGGAGCTACATCTTGCCTACTACAGCATTCAGTTTACTGTTACAGTGTTCACCACTGGCTTTGTTCTGCTTCCTGGAGCCAGTGGTTGCTTGGGTGCTTTTGCCAACAATTGGCTGGGATGTGCCTTTTTTTGAGCCTGAAAATAGTGTAGATTAATGCTGATTCATCCAGTAAGGATGTTATATTGTAGGATGATTACAGTCATCATACCCTAGGAAATAGCTGTTCCTTTTGAATTTGGAGTTTAAAAATAATCCACCATTCCTACTGATGTAACATACCTTCTGTGGTATGTCAGACTTAGTGTTTTATAGTAATAGCATTTGAGCAGGTGAAGAAGTCTGCTAGGTGTTGCTGGTTGTTTTTGAAAACCATTCATATGAATTTGAAAACATCTCTGTTCTGTGCTCCTGTGTTTTACTGTTGTAAGTAAACAGTTAAACAAAGAGTGATTATTTTGCAAGTCTAATGTGCRAGTTGGAAAAGTCATCAGCAAAACCTTTTGCAAGAGTCTCATCATCAGGGTAAGAAAACAGCTTTGAAACAAGTAATTATTGAAAGGGTGAAGCCTAACCCCCCTTTCTCTCCTCTTGTCATCTTTGTCTTGCTACCACTTTGAATATAAGGGCACAGTAAAGCAGAGCTTCAGCTACATGGGAAATTAGGGAGTCTTCAGTTCTACATTATGTTAAAGAACAGAAGTCTGGGAAATCCAGGTAATGAAGGGTTAGCAGCTTGCAGAATCCATTGCCTTCATGAAGTTGGACTTAACCTGCTTGTCTCCTTCCTGTTTGTTGTTTTGAAAGGTACTATTTTAGATTCTGACATGGACTTAGTATGGGATAGGCAGTTCTCCCAATATAGATATGGTTTGTGCACTTCACTGTAAAAAGATATATAGGAAATTTCTGTTGCTTTTCTAAGAATTCCAGTGAGATTTGYTTGATGTTCAGCTTTGACATCTAATGTGCTACTGATGTTAAAAGTATGGCTAGTTAAATGTAACTAAGGATGAGACTTCTAAAATTGCATGGACTGGAAAACTTCTGTTTAGCAGTAGCAGTTAGGTAACATATGTTGGTCTACAGAACAGAGGAAATGTACTGGATAGAAAATAGAGAATTCATAGAAATAAAGAGTGTAGCATTTGTGACCATATTTGGAGCCTCCCACTAGACGATTGGAGGACTCTTTCTGTGATGTGATTGTTAATTTGTAAACTGGCTTCTAAAGGTGTTGCAACAAAACATAATAAGAAAGAGAGAATGTTGTTTCCATATCCCTAAAATATATGTGGAATATAGCTGTAAATGTTTGGGGGATGGGAGGGTTCTGAAACATGCTTTATTTTTCTAATCAATAGGGAAACCTGAACACAAGGTAGGATACTTGGACTGTACCTTTCCATGCATAACCAAATTAATTTTTATTTTGAGAAAGAAGCTACTTTTAAACAMATTTACTTGTAGGCTATATAACATCACCACAGAAAGGCAGTTCTATTAATCACTTATCCTTGCTTTATGACTATTTTTGCTGAATTAGAATTGAAAATTGACTTATCTGAATGTGTTAAGCTATAGCAGTAGTAGAAAAACCAAAAATACTAAAATACTGTTTTGTAGCAGCTATTTTCTTTTATCTGTAATGAATGCTCTCATGTTCTCCTTATTGATCTGCTGGCATTCYAGCAATCATTTTTACCCATGTTAAWGAGTTTGAAATTAATTGCTTAGACTGAGGCATTCACCTTTTGTATTACAAAGTTAGATAGGGCTATAGGATTTCTGATATTGAGACTTTTCCTAGCATTCATAGATTGAAGAGTAAAGGCAATAGCAAAATTATGCTCATCTCTCAGAAGCTGAAGGCAGGAGCAGAATTAGCTTATAATTCATCTTGACCTCAGAGTGCTTTTCATGACTTAGCTTCCCTCTTGTATCTTTCTTGACAAAATACTTGGGGGGAAAACCCAACAGATTGTCTTAAATTTTCCAAACTGGTAGCAACTTGTCTGTCTTCAAGTCCAAAGTGCCACGTTCTAGTCTGTAAAGCTGGAATTCTCAGGGACTACTGTAACAATACCTCTACCTTGGTGTAAGGAGTGGGTTTGAGGCTAGGTCATTTCATGACCTTCAGTGCTTAATTGCCATCAGTCCCAGCTCTCTTCCAGAACAGATATCTGTACTGGCTTTGCCACCCATGCCAGACTGCTCTCAGTGTAACCTCTGAGCTAGTGGTGCACTTCCTAACACCACCTCCTACCAAGATACACCTTTTTATCACCATCCTTCACTTTCAAATGACTCTGGTGTGTTATTGTTCTCATGGCAGATAATGTGTTACCACTTGAGTATCAAAGACTATTCAGTCACAAGGCAAGACAAGCAGTGGGAGTTCCCCACACAAGAAAGTAATCATTCACAAATTGCCAAAAGGAAGTGGAAGCTTTTTGTGAGCAAGAAGGCGATTCTCCTATTTCCCGACATGCTGGTGTCTTAGCTTTTTTTTTCTTGTCAGTGTTTCCTGAATTATTTTCTCCACTGCTCTCTCTCTGCTACTTGTCCATTTCATTAGKAATCTCAGAGCCACCCTGACTTGCAGGTATGCAGGGGGAAGGTAAACACCTCACATTGCTTACAACTAGGACTGTTGTTATTTATATTTCTATCTTTTTTCCCCCCCATTTTCTCTCAGTTCCCTTTTCCTGTAGATAATGGAAAWTTTTTTGTAGTAATAAATTAGCAAAATAATTAAAACCCACTTTTCTACCCAGTGCTAATATTGATTTTTGTCTTTGATTTTCAGAATTTACTATTTACAGATGAAAGTGATAATTCAGAAATTAAAATAATTGATTTTGGCTTTGCTCGTTTAAAACCACCTGACAATCAACCTCTTAAGACTCCGTGTTTTACTCTTCATTATGCTGCCCCAGAGCTCTTGAATCACAATGGTTATGATGAGTCTTGTGATCTGTGGAGTTTGGGGGTCATTTTGGTGAGTGACTGAGGTTTTTAACTATAACTTTATTTAATGTATTTACTTTCTGTTAAAATGCAAAGGATTTGAAATTATTTCAGACATAAATTGGGTACATTCTGACTTCAAGGGAGGTGACAATATTGCTGTACAAATAATAGGTTCCAAAGACAGATCTTTTCCAGGGCTGGAATTTTTTTTTACCAAGTAGGAAATAAAATTTTAACATTTTTGGGAACAAAAACATTACTTGATACAAACAGGTTCTCAGAAAGAGATATGATTGTTAAGGGATTTTACAGGCATCCATATAATCTTTCTACAGTTTCARTTCAGATAAGGAATCAACCTGCATTTTGATCTACAGAAAATTAGTTTCAATAGATATAAATGAGGTAGAAATACGTTTTGTTCAGAGCTTCCTGAAATAGATTAATGTCTTTTTTAAAAAGGACTCCAGAGAAAGTCTTGCATATTTTAAATTTTCTATAGCCTTGAAGTTATGCTAGTCCAATTTTATTACATAGCATTGGTGATAGAACCAACAGCCCTGCATATCTAACAATAGAGTTGTCCATAAATATACTGTGTTTCCTAATGTTGCTCTTGGTTTTGTGACAGTACACGATGCTATCAGGACAGGTACCATTTCAGTCCCAAGACAGAAGTTTAACATGTACCAGTGCATTGGAAATTATGAAGAAAATAAAAAAGGGAGAATTTTCCTTTGAAGGAGAAGCGTGGAAAAATGTTTCTGAAGAGGCTAAAGAGCTAATTCGAGGTATGTATTTACAAGTATTTTCATGTACATTTCATGCATGTATTTCAAAAGATAAAATTTAGAGAACCATACAATATTGGGATACTGTAATCAGCACCGAAGTATCTAACCTGACAGCAATATGTACATCTTGAGCTATGTATTGACCCCTAATACAAATAATGGGTAGAGGTGGACACACTGGAATGCCTTATAAATTGCTTGTACACCTAGCAGAGTTTTCTCATGTGGTAAGATACTGGTAAGATTAGCGGGGTTAGAAGGAGCTGAAGAGCTTTGGAAAAAGTCTACTTACTCTTAGTTTTGAAAGCAGTTTTTCTATTGTCTTATTTTTGCTTTTCTGAAAATCCAAAACAACTCATGAGATAAATGTCTTAAAAGCTGAACTTTTGCASAAAATAATTTTATTACTATTTCTTTTCCATTTGCTTTTTTTAAATTCATGTACCAAGACTACTTGGTGTATGTCTGAGCTATTTTATTGACATTTGCCATGCTTTGGTTCCCCTTAAGCTTTTGAACATCTTAATTATGTTTTCATCATGACCTAAATACCTACCTTAATTCTACTTAGATGGAGTTCTGAATTTTCATAGAAGCAGACTTATGAGGAATTTTTCTGCCTAAAATGTAGGAATTTCCAGATTCCGACTTGAGCAGATTGTGCAGGGAATCTGAGGCTTACTCTCCTGAATTTAATTCTGGACAGGTTTAAGTGAAGAAATCATTTGGTAGTTCTGAGTTCATGTGAAAAGAGATTTGAAAAAATTGGTTAAATACCAATTTTTTTGCTTTTAAGAGTCTTCTGGAGAGGATGATATCATAACATTGTGTGAGCCTTATCTAGGRTAAATATTGGCATACCTAGGATAAATATTGACATTCGTTACTTATCAGAGCAATGCATGAGATTTTATGAAGAAATATTTACATTTTCTATTGAATGAAAAGAAATAGCTCACAGTTTTAAAGAATATAATACGTTTCTATTAGGACTTCTAACAGTGGATCCAAACAAAAGAATTAAAATGTCCAGCCTGAGATACAATGAGTGGCTTCAGGATGGCAGCCAGCTCTCATCGAACCCTCTAATGACACCTGATAACTTAGGCTCTTCAGGAGCTGCAGTGCACACGTATGTCAAAGCCACTTTCCATGTAAGTTCTGAGAMATTTTGTCATGTACTATATTTTCTAATGTGTCATCTAAATTTGTATATGTTTCCTCTTAACAGTAATACGTATCTGTCCTTATAATTCAGTCTATGCTTGTAGCTGGATTTTTTTTCCTTAATGTTTCCTCATTACATTTCTGATGGAGTATATGAAAATATGAGTGATGAAGCAAGAGAAATTTCTTGGAAATATTTATATTCATGAGATTTGGGGACTGAGTGCTGTAGTTGAAAAAGTATTGAAATATTCTATACCTTAGAGAAATCTGTTTAAAGGTCTTCAAACTTATATTCAACTTTATATTTAACTTAAGTAACTGAYCTTCTTGTCTTTATGGTTACTAAATTGAAGTAAAATTTCTGGAACATATGTAGTTAATTTTTTTTTATATCATGGATGCTTTTTAATTAGACTTGCTTATCTACTGTTGTATTTACTAAAATAATTTGAACTGCAACTGTATTACACAAATACAGTGTTCATTCACATGATACCTTCTACAGAGAATAAACCAAAATTGAGCAGATTTATGTTGAAATACTTGTGTGCATTTCTTAGGAAGGAGAGAAAAAGAAAGTAATTATTTCTTGGAGAGGTCCTGATAATGCAACATAATTGGGACTGAAAGAAAAGAATGTAATTTAACAGTGTCCTCTCTGAAAATGTAGTATTTAAATAGGTTAAGGCTTAATAAAAAATACTTCTAAAGTAAAAAGAACAAGGAGAGGAAGATGCCAATTAATAATGTTATATATTGGCTCTTACGTAACTGTAAAGGCTGGTAGAGTCTTTGTTACAGCTACAATAAGAAGTAGTACAAGAAATTACATTTTATCTTGTGTACAAGTAATACAAGAAATTACATTTTATCTTGTGATGTACCATAGACCATTCATAACAAATGGTAAGTATAAAATATGTTAAATATCTTGAAAAACTTAGAATTACCTTTTATTTTCAAACAGGCCTTTAACAAGTACAAAAGGGAAGGATTTTGTCTTCAGAATGTTGACAAGGCACCTCTTGCAAAAAGAAGGAAAATGAAAAAAACAAGTACAAGCACAGAGACACGTAGCAGCTCCAGTGAAAGTTCACATTCTTCTTCCTCTCATTCTCATGGTAAAACTACACCTACAAAGACATTGCAGCCCACAAACCCTTCAGACAGCAATAACCCAGAAACCATCTTCCAGTTCTCTGACTGAAAGGCAGAGAATACCCTGTCTCGAGGATTTAAGTGGTTGTAGACTTGGCAGTACCTGTATTGTCTTCTCCCACCCTTCCTCCCCGTGGCTTACAGGCTGCTACAGGAAGATGTCTGTTGCTTTAGAAATGCATTTTAGTCATACTTTTCTAGCTTTGTATTTCCATACATTTCTTTTTAGCATTGTTTGGTATCACTGGATATAGTATAATACTATACAACCATCATTGTATTATCTGAGGGCTAAATTACTGGTGTGCAGTCAAGCTCAAGGTAAGGAGTTGTGCTGCTCATGGTACTTCTTGGAAGAAGACTGTTTCTCAGTGTCAGAATCTTCCTCCCAGTTTCTTCCCCACTGCTCAAAGAAAGGAAAGCTCTGTTATAAATATATATATATATATATATATATAAAAAACTTTTGGATCTTCTGCTTTTACCCATAACATACTCTGTGAAGAATGTTATAGAATCTTATTCTTCATGCATGTAAAGAATCATTGGTACAATGCACCAAAGCAGTATAGTACTTTAAAGCCTTTTAAATTTGTCGTTACATTCTGTCCCATTTATTTGAATTTTAAGATCAAAATGAAGCATTATGGAACTTTTATTTTGTTTTAAAAAGTAACTTCATATATCTTGATCTAAACAACTGAGAATAGAAGTCTTAGATTTTTTATTTATTTATTTTTTTAAACACATCTWGGATAAAAGATACCTGATAAGATGAGATATCTAGTACTGTGATACAACAATTTTTATTTTTTTGAAGTTATTGACTTCTAAGATTTTACAGATTCTAAAATGTAATGGTATAAGAGAAAATTAAATTTCATATTTGATGCTTTGGAAAATGGTCACATGTTAAAAATACCTATTCCAAGATTTAATTATAATTTATATTTTCTTTTTATATTTACACAATAACTTTAAAATACTAGGATTTTTTTAAAGAACTCCGGTTTCAACATCTGTTATTACAGGGTCCATRCAAAATGCATACCATGTTATTTGAATTTTGCATTGTGCAAATATGACAGTTTAATAGATACTGTAAAATATTAGAATATATGTTTTATTTTTTGCACTTTGTAACATCCAAAGGAGATGTTTAACGATAAAGTGCACTCAGATCTCTCGTCCTACAAGGTGCTGAGCACTGTTTTGCTGGGCTGAATGACCTGAAATCCACCATATTTGGTGGTTGTGGTCATTGTGAAGGACAATTCTGTACTTTGCAGGAGTGAATCCCTGTATATTACCCACTGTTTTCATTCCTTATTTTAAAATGCAAAGTTCTTTCTATCTTGCTTTTACATTGTATATAACTAATACTAGACCTGGGCACCTTGTGTAGTGTAGATGTTAACAACTTATGCACTGGGAATACTAAAGGGAAATTATATTGAACACTGTGCTTCACAACTTGCTCACTGTGGTGTTCTACAGTGAAGTATTTCCTACTGTGATAGTATAGTATGTACATAACTGTTTGGAATCATAAATGTGACTTACAGAAACATCAGCATAAACTTTTAAATCAGTATATTTTATAAATTTATGGAGAGATCTTTTATAGCTTGTATTCTCAATGACTAGGGGTAACTTAAGTGCTAAAGATGACTCCAGCTCTGCAAAGACTTATATGTGTAAGCTTCCACTGAAGTCAGACAGGCTCCTTGTCATATGCCTAAATTTGTGTGATGGAAGAATAATTGACTAGAGGATTTTGTTAACAGCTGTCTCTATCCTAAAGTAACCTTAATTCAAACCCTATGCAAAAAGAAAAAGGTTATAGAAATTGTTTATATCAGTGGTTTTATTTATAGAATTATATCAGATATCAGTATTGACAAATACAATACATCCATGTTTACAGGGATTGTGTGTATCAAAACAAGGCTTTGAAGCCCAACATGTTTGTTCTGTGTTTCTTTAATATTAATAATGGCATTCTGAGGTTTTGGAATTGCTCATGTGAAATAGTTTACTACTTTCTTGATGTGAATGTCAACAGTAATTGCAGCATTAATTTCAGGTTGATGTGAATATTGAGATTTGCACTGTTTATGTAGAAGTAGTATATTTAAAGATCAGTCTATGTGCTAATAACACAACCAAGTGGCCGATGTTAAAGTATTGAAAAATAATTGTCAATGTAATATATTCAGGTTTGCTTTCTGAATGCTCTCTTGGAAGTAATCTCAATAGTGAACATGGCTCATTTGTAAAAGAATACTTTTCTTCTCCCCAATAAACTTGCTGTAAATACAACAAACAATCCACCATTAATACTTGTCATGCAGATAGTGTAAGTGAATTGGGAGACTGGAGAACAGGTTGCTTGTAAAATTTGCACTTTGAGGAGTTTTTGGAATTTGTTGTCTTCTGGGTGGTTTCATTAAAGTGTAAGAAACTTTTGGATACCAGGTGGATTTGGAATATGGTGACCCAGCTGAAAAAACTTAAAAGTTAGGAACACAGAACAATGTTTCCCTGTTGGGAAATTTAAACTGGGTCTTGACAGACTRATGAAACAAAAAGAATGTTTACACAAGTTACTAAATGCTAGAGATAATGGCTGTATTGTCAATCTCTTTTTCTACACAGGTTTTAAGAGACTGTTATGAGACTAAAATTATTAGAATACATCACTTGTATCAAAGAAACTTTTATAGCTGAATRTTTCTGTGTCCTCTATGTGGTCTCACAGTAGCTGTTGAATAAAAATTTAAAACCAGGGTATTTCTTTTGGGTGGGGYTAAGTACATTTAGGTGTCACCTTGTATTTGCTTTGAACCAGTTACGCAGGGTAGCTGAAACGTTTATGTCCTCTGACTGTCTGCTGCCTCCAGGTAAGAGAGCTCTCGAGGAAGCGTATTTGACACTAAACTGTCTGAATTTTTAGATTAGCGTCTTTACATAAACAACTGCTGATGTACATATACATTGATACATTGCAACTTGAGTTGCAAGCTAAGCAGCTCAAGAGTAAGTTTACTTCTTGTTCTGATGTCCCTGCAGACTAGTTACTTGTGGCAGAACAGTGTTTCAATCTGTGCCCAGTGTGGAACTCAAGGTCTTACAAAGACCATGGGCCTATTTTTGCATACTCAGACCACTGTTTCAAATTTGAAGTGTACAAGGCAATCTTCATTAGTAATRTAAATACTTTGTATTGTCATGGTGAAGAGATGTTACACTGTAATTTGCTTATATTTGGACTAAGTTTCCTTCACAGTGCTGCTATGCCTCAATCAGCTTTAGTGTCTAGTAATATCTGTCTGCTGTCAAAAATACAGTCAGCAGTGTTGTAGGCAGATTTGTGTGAAGAATCAAATTTCTTATCAATAAAGATTTAAATTAGTTTGGGTTTTAATCTAATCTTCAAAGTATTCAATATCTGTTAAAGCTATTTCTTTGTAATACTTTTAGAAATACAAGTATTAGTAATTGCAGGTAATTCTGCTAAAGGATTTAGAGAGGTACAAAGAAAATAACATGACTTACTATTTCTCTGGCTTAGTAAAATTTCTACACTTTAAGGAAAAGTGCATTTTGCATATGTATTGTTTATTGCTGTGAAAAAAAAATCCCAATTACATGCTTTATTAAACAGTTGGGGGTGGGGGTAACATGTAAGTCCAGTATTGCATCAGAATGGATTGAGGCTTCAAATTGGCTCTGCTGATGGACATATTTTCTCAGTCCTTTTCCTGAACAAGATAAGGATTCTACACACAGCTGTATCCCTTTTCAATCATCTGATAACAGAATAATTCTCAGCAGAAAATGTGTTCATTGGTTGTCATGAAGTATTGCACAAGCATCTTACATTTTCAATCCGTACATGTGTTCTGCGTGTGGACGTAGATAATACTGTATTGAATATCTAGATCTCAGTTTAAATATGTCTTGATTAAGAGAGCTTGTATTTTAGAAACAGGTTCTGGACTCAGACAGGTTTGGAGGACCAGACAATGGGGCTGCCACGGAAGAGAAAGGAGGTTGYAGGAAGTCAGAGGTGAGAGGCTTCTGGGAAGATGTTTCCTGGGTAATTTCTCCCCTGGCTATGTCCATGTGCCTGTACTATCCACTGACAATGAATTGCAAGTTTTCTTGCCAGTTGTTCAACAAACATATTTCCTATCTCTGCAGGTCTCTTGAGTTCTGTGTGTGTGTCCACACGTGTGTAGCCTTTTAACATCTAGTTCATATTGAWATAATTTGTTATGTCTTAAGTATCATTCTAGGTATTTTCACTAAGTTGATGGTCTTCATTCTTTCCCCCATTAGTGATAATCTTTTTCAAAATCCAGTTTTTACATGACAAAACATGACATTGCCTTCCTTCAGTTGACATAGTTGACTATTCTGGATTGAGGGAACAGAAAATAACATGACTGTTTCAGCTGTAAAGAGATARAAGTGCTTTGAGAAACACTTCTTAGTTTGGTCCTTTGACCCACTRGATTCTATAAAAGTTTAAGAAACGCAGAGCTGTTTGCCATCACACAATTTTATATTGAATTCTGAATATTCAGAACACATATGTRGAAAACTCAGATTGATTCCTATAGTCTACACTAGAAAATGAAGTGATGCTTTCAATTACATAGACCAGCTGAAACAGTCTGTTGTTTGTTGTGCAAGCTTACTCATTCATACATATGCTTTTTTTCCTTTGAAAATCAATATACAATGGAGAAGAGAAACTAAATTCACAAAAGCAGCAAATAACCTCCAAGCTTTTCTCACATGTGTCCTTAAAGAGTTCTCATCCTTTAAATAGGTAACTGCWGTACATAACACTCCGCTTGAAGCTATGCCTGCCTGAGGGAAGAGGATCCCATTCTCTGGAGATATGCTCGTTGTAGAGGGTACAAATTAGAACTCAAGGTGCTGTGTCCCTGCTGCTTTAAAGTTCAAGTGTTAATACAATTCTGCTYAATATGTATCACCATGTCAGTCCAATTGATATGCAGATGTGGCAGGTCACGTAATTCAATTTTAAAGCTGTCAAATTAAAAGGAAGACTTGAGATCTACTTCAGACCAAATTGAGAACAGGCTTGAATCTTGAAGTACACCTGGATTATGAAAATGAATAAAAGTTTGACACTGGCTTTGAACCTTGACAGGCTGCTCCTGCAGCAAATAGGGATGCTTAGAGATATCTTTACAGTACAGATCTCTSTCACCTGTAGAGAAAGAAACCTGCAAAATTGTTTCTTGCCAGATAAAAWTTTTTGATGGAGTCCCAATAGGAGAAATAGTCTCTAATTTCTACCTTTACCTTTGAAGCTGTAAAGGCAAAAAATGAGTTGGTGACAGATTCTGACAGCTGGTTATAAAGGAGCAGGCTGTGTTAATTTGCAGTGAGAGGAACAGGGCGTTCTATTTCTTGTGTCAGTGTGGGCAGGGAGTGGGGAGCGGAAAAGAAAATGGGAAGAAGGGAATGCTGAGTGCTTTGCCTGACTGTAATTTACAGGACATTCTGGTTGCACACCATTGCTTTTGAAGGAGCAATGGTCTCCGCATTTAATTTAAAATCTTTTTTATTCAAAAAGATCCCACACAGATGAACCTGACAATTTTTCTTCTTGGAAATGGTGCTATTTTCAAATGGTAAATGCATAAACATGAACATTGATTTCCTTATTTCCTTAATGCCAGTTATCAACAGATTACAGTGAAATTTTCTTTATGAAAAATATGCACCTCTCTAAAATCTTTTGTTGGCATGCCAACGAAGTGCAAAACCTTTTGATAGAAGTTTACCAAAAAGCAAGAGAAGTAATTGAAATGGTTTATTTTTCCCAATATTCAGAAAATGAATGAAGATTGTTGGAGAGAAGATGATTCTGAATTTGATGGGAAAAATACTAGGAATGATTTTGTGAATATGGTGGTGGGAWAAAATACAGGAAAGCTGTGTTCTAGAAGACTGCTCAAGACTTGTGGAAGATTAGTGTAACCAGATGTCAGGTGAATGCTCCTGTTTCTAAAGCTGTTGAATCTTAACCGTGCTTATTTGAAGGATGATAAGCCCAGCCTATTGTTGGTCAGTCCTGTCAGAACCACAGATTTTAGGAAAATCTGATTGATTTTAGGAAAATCTGTTGTTGGGCTTCTGTCATGGAGGTACTTCTCCTTATTTTCAAGTCTTGCTAACCAGCAGGGTATGATCAGCATGTGGCAAATCAGACTCTTCAGCTGTATTGGAATGATAACGGCAATGAAGGTTTTGATCTTCAGCTGCCTCTGTTCTTCTTCAGGCTGTGGTGTTCAAAATAGGAAGAGTTTTTTTTGTTGCCCAAAATTGTGTGGTTAACCACTGTGGTGGCTTCAAAGTTAATGCAAAATGATCTGGAGAAGTAATCATGTCGTTAACAAGTCAGCCTTGGATTCCCTTAGGAGAAGCTCTTGCCAGAGCGGTGCACGGTGCAGAGCAATAGCATGGGTATTTCCTGTGATAGCTGCTGGTCTGCATGTTCATTCTTTTTCTGACTCTTGTGTGTGCTGGGAACTCTTCTCACAGAAAAACATAAAAAACCCACCAAASATCTGAATGCTAGGTTGATGATACTTGGGTGAAGGCAGTTTTATTGGTAATAACCAGGAGTTTTTTGGCCGTTACATTGTGCACAGCTTTTCTGGCAGTAGGGAGAAGTATTTGAACAAGTCTCTAAGACAGACTGATAGTATTTGAGTTTTTACTGATCTCCAGCACTGTCAAAAGCTTGGTTTTGGAGGAAAGCATGTGAATATGCCTATATATGGTAAAGTCCTATGGTATAATGCTATCAGTATACTTACAGAATCCTGTGTTTTTCTAGTATGCATTGGGATTAAGTAAGTTATGCAGGTTTTGGTTGGGTTTTTTTGGGGTTTGTRTATGTGGTGGTTTTTTTAATTACTATTATTTATTTTTACTCCACATATTGTATACTTAGTTCTGTTACTTTCCTGGGCATTCTRTTTATGTTAACCCACTTATCTCTTCAATTTCTGTAGTCTTTCTGCTTGTCCTGAAAAGTAATATGTGGGTATTTCTGCCCATAAACAACTGTAGAGTCAAATGACCCATATATAGAGGAAATAAAATTATACAATAAACACTTTCCTGGATTAGTGTGCAAACACCCAGCTTAAATTGCAAATAGTTATAAATAGTACTCTTCAGATGACAACTGGTGGGATGAGTGAATAGTAYTAGAAGCACAAAAAGAACAGTTTTAAAAAGTTTGGGCATGGAGGATTGAGTGCAAGCCAAAAGGTAAAAGCTCAGGTAGCGCCTTCAAACTTGGATCTAAATATAATTTGAACAAGGTGCCAGACTGGCTGGCTGACTTGCCTTTTACACTTTGAAGTAGAGTTAGGTCAGCAGGAGATAGGAGAAATCAGCTTTGTCCTGCAGATGTAGAACTTCAGATTTCAAGGAACCTATATTTGGATCCAGCAGGAGCACTAAGAGGCTGAAAACTGGCAGCTAGTCCCCAGAAGCTGCGTTTGTGAATCATGTCTGTGAAGTGAAGATCAATACAGTCTGCAGAAGGATGGTTCACGTCCATCCCCAGCCAGCTGTAGTCACAGTGGTATTGTTTTCTACCTGAGTTTTTATCAAGCAGCTAAAAAGAGCACATGTGCTGCTCTAACCTTGTCTGTGCTGATAGATAGAATGATCTCCAGGACAGAAGACTGGAAATTATGTTCTGTGGTTTCAGACAAATGCTAGACCTTTTGGAGACTTCTTTGATCATGTTATTATTTTTTAAATTAATAGTGTTTCAGTCATAATTCTATCTGGAAATATCAAGTTGAGCTTTTCATGGAAAGGAGCTATGACATATCAGAGTATATCAAGAAGAAAAAATGGGTTTCTAGAGAATCTCAGAAGCTGCAAGCAGAGTTGGTYTTTTGACCTGCAAGACCAAATGTTAGGCAATAGAGTTCTGAACGATTGAGTTTGGCCAGTTAAGGTAAGTTGTAGTGTGTAAAGCCAACTGAATATTGTAAAAAGGTTAGAAATGTAATGCTGAGTCAAACTAGTGGGACCAGAATTCCACACAGCCCTCCAGTGCAGATTAGAGCATTGGTTACACTGTTGCAGAATGATGTTGGTTGCTTTGTCCTCCGTGGTCTTTTTGGCGATGATTTGTAGGCTGCTACTGCACAATGCAGCAAGGATTTCAGGGAATTGTTTGTGGTTTCCTGCCAGACATCCTGTATCAAATGTAAATCAGTTAGTTGTCTCCAGACAAATAACTAGTGTTTGACCAATTCATGTTATCTGAGCAGCATCCAGTCTTGTTTTGGAGACATCAAGACTTGAAGAATCTACCACTTCTTTGGTGTTCAACCAAATACTCAATTATCATGATAACATTTTAAAAGTCTAATTTCTTACTTAAATTTATTTGGCACAGGTCTCAACCTTTTTTTTTTTTCTCTCCTTTTCTCTGTTACTCTGGTTTGTTTTTTTTTAATGTTGTTTTCTTTACATGACATTTAATTTCCAAAACATAAAGCAAATTTTTTTTTTTAATTCTGACAGTTGTTATGGATAAATCTGGTGACTGGTCCTGTCTATGAACTCATATTTGCTGTGCAGAAAGAGCAACTCATGCACCTGTTACTGGGCCCACTTAGTGTTTCTGATCGGTAGGAATATGTATCTCTTGGAATTTTCCTCTGCTGATCCTAGAAAATCTCCTTCTCCCCTCTCTACTAAGGAGCTTGCTTCTGGAACTTCATAATGTAATGATATGTGCAAATTTCCTGGTTTTCTGTTAGTCTGCCCAGTCTGATGTGACTCTATGTTCTACTGCTGTCTTCCATCTTCCTTTGGCACATAGGCACAAGCCTCGTGTCCTCGGGATGCCCTGGTGTTCTGTGACCTTTTCAAAGGCACATGATGAGACCCAAGGGAGACACACTTTGTTTAAGAGTATTTTGTACTAATCCTGGATCCGCTGATTTTTAAATGACTACTCTCCAGTTATTAACATAATTGAAAGATCTGATTTTAATGCATGATTTTCATTCTTTCCAAACACAGAACAAAAATAGTTGCTGAGCATTCCTTTGTCTCTGTCACCAACATTTTTCTTGCCTCTGGGTAATAATGAACTGATGAGATTGATAATTTTTTTCATTATCCTCAGCAAATTTCTTAGTTATTTGTCAATACTCACAACACAGTGTTTTCTGTCAATAGTTTTAAGCTACCTACAGGTGTAGAAACTTTCAGAAGTTWTATGTGGCTTTCGACTCCCTCTGGTGGTCTGGCAATGGAGCTGGCAAATATTTTAACTGCTCGTACTGACAGCAACAAGCAACATGTTTGAACGCAGTATGATATTGTATTTTATTTTCATCGTCTAGAAATAGTAAAAAATGATACATAGCAGGTTTTCTGTGTTGAAAAGCAGAGGCCTAATTAAAGTGCAAAACCATTATATCTTTCTAAAAACATATAATTACTATTTTTTAAAACCTGGAATAATGTTATGGACACTGTTTGCATAAATAATTCAAAAGAATAGGAAAACGTCTTTGCCTCTGAAGTTCAATTTGCATAGGAAGATTTTATTTTTTGAGTTCAAACTAGAGATTAAGCTACAATTTGGATCACATCTGGAATTTAGGTGCACTGTGTCTGTTGTTTTTGTTATTGTGCAGGGACCCTCTTCACCTGCTTCCCAGAACTTAAAAAGTAGCCAAACTCCCCTGGCTTTTCCCTGAACTTAAAAGTAGCCAAAAAATTTATTTGAAATCCTTAGATCTTTGAACAAGACTAAAATGTTTCACTCTGGTACAGTAAACATGAGAAACAGCACACTGGCGTTTTTCTTCCCATTTGCTTCCTATTTCTTACTACACGTTAATACAGGATAGCAAATTTAGTCGCACCATACCATTGTAGAAATACAGCTGTGCAGCAAGTAGCAATGCAGATACAAATACATTTCTTTGGCCTTCAAAAACCAGTGGAGTGCTTTGTTTTTTAATTCTGGGAGGTGACTTTTTTTTTTGGTGTGTATTAATATATGCATTTGTGGTGCAGAGGATATTTCCAGGCCCATTATGGCAGGTTTAAAATATAGTATGAAACACTGAGCTGGAAGAATATGATTTAAATATATACTGTAAGTTGAGTGATACTCTGTTGCCCTTTCATTGGCAGTGCTGGCTCCCATTTCACGTGAATGGGCTCTCTTTTGGAGTCTGACCCTTTATTTTTTGCAGCACAATTGGTAATTAAACTTCAGATTCAGACAGTCAATATCAATGACTGCTAGTCCCTGACATTTATTAAAGACTAAGAATAAACATCGATGGATTTCATAAAATAGTGAAAAATCTGTTTGCCTCATTGTATAAGGCATACATTCCATTTTAAGTATCAATTGCCCATTATCTCACAAGTGCAGTATGAATTGAATCACTTTGAAGGCAAACTACAAAACAAACTACAAAATCAAAAGTCCATTGTGAAGAAAGCTTTTCGGGTTCCTAAGTTTTTGTGAATTATTTTGCGTATGGTTTTAACTTCCAAACAGTYATAAGGGCCTAATGTTTTATCAAATAATGTACATTTGCAGATGTAATTATTTTATATCTAAGAAAATAAACTCAACTAGGTACAAAACTTTGAAATGTTGAAATAACTTGGTAAAGTTTATTTCAGTTCCTATATGACTGTATCCCTTGCTAGGCAGGGGTAGGAGGTTTCATAATGGGCTTGTTGTCAGACTGTTGATTTTGTGGATATTGTTCAGTTTTACTTCCCTTCAAATTGCATTTTTATACTATCAGAAAGGAGAAAAATGCCACTGTGAAGTTATTTTCTTGAACAATTTTGATATGGTCTGTTCTAAATTTCATAGAGATTTCTCCATTCCTACTGAAGACAGTATTGTGCAGTTACCTCATTTCATTAACAATGTTGTGCTGACTAAAACCCCTCCTTAGGTTTCAGTAAGATTTTCGCTTCTATAATGCTTATGAACTGTGCTCTTCAGTGTAGAGAAATTAATAATCACACTATTGAGTTTTGGCCTAAGAA